TATTTCAATCAATGTATTTGTATCAATGGAAGATTTTTGTGTATATCCAACACGTAATGGAATTATTAACGGAGCAGATATTGAACCAGCAGTCGTTTTGTTTAACAATTCAAAAAGTAATTAAATTGACATGATGAAACCATATTAAACTTTTTTACATCAAATGGTTGTCTATCATTTTGAAATTTTTCATTACGAAGTTGTACTTCACGTCTTTCACGTTCTGCTTGTTCTCTATAATAATAATCAAAATTTCTTTAATCTTGTCCTTTTTGTTTTTGGATTCTAAATAAAGACTTACAAACGAACTTTAATTATATTTAATTTATCTTTATATTTTGAAGTTACATTAAGAACATTTTGTGAAAGATATTCAGATTGAGCATTAATTTCGGACTAGAACAAAAAGCAAATGACAATAAAAAATTATTTTAATCTATATATAAATAATTATGTTGGATTCATCGTCTCAGTCTAAGGGAGTATTATATATAAGATAAAAGAAAAAAAAAATAAGCGCAGAAAAATGTGCTTATGGAAATATTTTATCTAAGAAATTTAATAGTGAATAGAAAAACACGAAGAGAAAAAAAAGGAGAAGCAATAGTAAATCATATGTATTAATACCAATTTTTTCCATAGCTGAACTCGTCGAATCATAGAATAATATGTACGCGATATGTAAGAGAATGAAATTATTATTATTATTGTTATTATTATTATTTTTTCTTTACCTTTTCTTTTTCTAATTGTTCACAACGACGTGATGTTTCTTCAAGTACAATTTGTACATGTTCTAATTGATGTGTAGCTATACGAATACGTTCACATACATCATCATATTTTATTTGTAAAGATTTATAATCATTTTCAAATTCATCTGCACGTCGTCGTTCTTTTTCCAAATCAACATTTAAATTTGGTTCAATCTATATTTATTAATAAATATATTAATTCAAACAAATAAAATTTTAAACAAAAAAAATAATTTGTTCTTGACAGAAAATAAATCATGGCTATATACAGGGTGTCCCAAAAGTCCGTTGGAAAAGTTAATTCAAATATCTCTTATACGACTCAAGCAATTTAATCGATTTTTTTATAGTATGTTAGTATGTTCTTTAAAGTTTTGTTCTGTATATTTTTGGATAAATGTCTGTGCCTATAACTATTAGAATTAGAATAGTTCTATTAATGCCCAAATTTGAGTTACCTATCATTGTGAAAGGAAAAATGCAAGTCGAATTTGACATAAAAACGCTACACATGGACTGTGCTATTGCCGCTTTTCAAGGCCTTTGCGAAATGAGTATAGTAGTAAACAGACAACAATTTGAAAGACCTTCAAAAACTACAAAAGAGAAAATCAGCAAAGTTTATGATAATTGTGAAAATGTGCCACTATCAAGTGTTCGGGTTGTTGCAACAGCCTACTTCATTCCATGGACAATATCAGGACGAATTATCACTGAATATCATCTAATGAATCCATATAGAGTGTAATTTCTCCTATCATGTCATAGAGAAGATTCATAAGATCGAGTTGAAATTATATCACTTTGATACGCAAATTACAAAATATCCACAATCAGAAGAGCTCTTTTTTTTCATACAAAGTCTCTTTTCATTTGAATGGTTTATTAACAAATATAAAGTAGAGACCTATATACATAAGATATATATATAAAGATTTGGTTGAATTCAAAATAAGAACCGATAACGAAACGAAATTAGCTCGAAAATAAACTTTCTGCAATTTTTTTTAGAGATTTCAAAAACGATGGATTTAGGTATTATACTTCATGGTAATCATTTTGAATATTTGTTGCAAACTAAATTATGTGAAATAAAACTTTAAAGAACATACTAACACATTATAAAAAAAATCAATTAAATTGCTTGAGTTGTATAAGAGATATTTGAATTAACTTTTCCGACGGACTTTTGGGACACCCTGTATATATACGATAAAATTTTCTCATTATGACATGAATAATAACATACAATTTCCATAATGTGAGTAACATAAATGATCCTATGATAAACAATATTGACTAATTAGATAAAAAAAAAAACAATTTTACATAACAACAACAGTATTTGATATAACATCTTGTCGATATTTTTTATATTAATAACTTATGACATTAAATCATGTCAACACGAACTGATTTACCTTTGATTAAAAAAAAAAGAACGTGCAATTAATTAATTGTTAGAAAGACGAAAATAGAAACTGAGCACTTTTGAAGAGTTCTAATGGTACTCAAATTTGAGACGTTTTGTTTTAGGAATGTTTTCATTTTTTGTTTATTAAATAATATTAAGTCGGTATTCATTGTAATGAATTGTGAGAGTGATTTTACGTATGTCGGCGGCATTCAATATGATGGCGTCTTGCGCCATCGGCACTTTCAGGAGTTTTTTTTCTTTTATTACAATATGTGAACCACTTATGATAAGAACTTTTTAGCAATAACATTTCCGATCGAAATGATTACCTTGACTTATTTTTTTTACTTTAAATTTGATAAAAGAAATCTGTAAATGTAATCTTTGTGCGATTACATGATATAATTAGTGTTGCTAATAGAGATCTGCAAACTGGTCCCGTAATGTTTTCTGTTCCAGAACTAGACTACCTATTTCCATATTTATTATTCTGTTCTGACTAATGATCTACAAATAGGCCTTTTTTATTTATTTATGCCCAGGTCGAGAAGTACGAGTGGGTTCCGGCAGAAAAACACTGGAAGTTATTGGAACAGGGTGGCAGTATTCCGGCTGGACACTTTTCGGATTTTTTCGGTGACTTCCGATCAAATTCCTCTCGTTTTCTTCAGAAAGTTGTCCGGAAAAAATCCGAAACTTTTCCGGGCGGAATACTGCCACCCTGTTCCGGCGACTTTCAGTGTTTTCGTGCAGGATACGGTGAATTTTCCCGCATCTTTCCTACAGGATCCGGTGACCGGAATCTTCGACCTAGGATTGTTAATTTCTCAAAATCATCAATATTCATTTTATATATATTCAAAAAATCATACAGATTATAAGAAAAGTCGTTTTTTTTTCTGGAAACAATAAAAAGTTTTAAATTGAAACCAGGACCAAAAAAAGAAAAGATGATCCCACCGATACCTAGTTGTTAATCATTGATTGATTGTTTTATTCGATCTATTTTAGGATATATTTTTACTTAGTTTCTATACAAATATAATGAGATATTTAAGTATTAAGAAAATTAATAATATTCATAAGTTAATATTTACTTTTTCTTTTTCATGTAATTGTTTTTGTGCATTATTTAATTCATATTTAAGTGTATTTGTATGTTCAATTAATTCATTATAACGTTCACGTAAACGTAATAATTCAAATTCAAGTTGAATATTTTTATTCTAATATAAAATATATTTATATAAAAAAAATTTATTAAAAGAAATTTATTCATCATACGTCAATATTTGATTTTCATTTGTTAATTTCATAAGATTTTGTTTATTAATATCATCTAATCGTTGACTACATGTTAGAATATGTTTATGTAATACATCACATTTTAATTTAAGATTTTCCATATGAAATTTAATTCCTTCATCTGAATTATCAAACTAAAAAATTATGAATATTTTAAATATTAATCCAAAAAAAGAAAGAATGCAATTATACTGTTTGTTCAAATTGAATAGTTTTTTTCTCTGTAATTTCAAGTTCTTGACGAACAAGATCAATTTCACGTTCAAGTGAACGTTGTTGAATAATAGAAAATAATTTTGTTTGTTCAATATCTGATATATTTTGTGATTTTTCCATCTAATATTATTTAAATTAAATTTTACTTTTTTTTGTTTTTAAATTTTAATAATACGTACTAAATATTTTAAAAGATCATTTTGTTCTTGTTGTGAAATAAATTTTAATTTAAATTCAAGTAATTTCATTTCTGTTTGTTGCATATTTTCAAATACTAATTGATGTATAGATAAAGATGATAATGTTGTTGTTGTTGTTGTTTTTTGTTGATCCAATTTTTGATTCAATTTCATGTTGTAATTCAATATTTTGTTCCATAAATTTTTTTGATAATTCTTCAGCTTCTAATAAAATATAGAATTGAATTAATTAAGTATTTCTATTCTCTATGAAAAGTTTCAAAAATACAAAAAAAAAATTAGTCTTTCTCATATTTAAGAAATGATAAATTAATATTATTATATTTGTTAGAATATATCTGAGAATAAAAGTGAATGTTTTATCTCAAAAGTATGCAAGTCAACATATATTTATCAGTATTTTAGTATCATTAGAAGATAATAAGAATGAAGCAAAGATCTTCTATAAAGAATTTTTTACTATAGTTTTGATATCAAATATCAATTCTTTTCTAGGAATGATAAATTTACATTTAAAAAAAAAAAGAATTACTAAAATTAGAAGTAACTTAACAGGAAAAAGGGAATTACGATATTGAATTACAAGCCTACAGTACGAATACAACATTCACCGTTTAATAATGATTTTTAATTCTAACCGAGAATTTTTTTTTCTTCTCTTCTTATGTCCATCATCAAAACTATAGTTGGTATATCTTTAGTGTTTAATTCATTGAAGGATTGCTTTCGTTAGTAAATGAACTTAAGTAATAACTGTCTCATTCGATCTTATTGTTTAACCTCAGACGAATCCGTATAACTAATTATAATAATAGTTGAGAAGTTCGATATACGATAGTTTTTACTAAAGATATATCTTCTTTGTTATTCGATAAACAACAATAAAAAGTATACAATAGAAGAAACCATCAACCAGAGATGTCCATCGCGGCTGAAAATCTGCCGCTGCCGCGCCGCGGCCTTAGAAAAAAAAAGCTGCCGCACCGCTGCCGCGCCGCGGCGGTTTATAAAAAAATGTTGCCGCGACGCTGCCGCACCGCGATGACTTATAAAAGAAACGCTGCCGCGCCGCTGCCGCGATGAATTATAAAATAAACGTGCCGCCACCGCGCCGCTGCCGCGACGATTTTCAAAAAAGTGTTTCTAATTTCACTGCTGTGACTATATTTGACCAGAGATATGGGTACTAGTCCATCAGATTTATTCAATATCAGGGCGTTTCATTTGTAAATCGTGAAATTCCATTAAATTCATACAGTTTTTCAATGTCCTCCAAAAAAATCCTGCCGCTGCCGCGCCGCTGCCGCGATGGTTTTTTAAAAAACCTGCCGCTACCGCGCCGCTGCCGCGATGACTTTGAAAAAAATCTGCCGCTACCGCGCCGCTGCCGCGGTGATTTTTTTTAAAAACCTGCCGCTGCCGCGCCGCCACCGCCACCGCGGCAGCGGCAGCGGCAGCGGCGGCGGCGCGGCAGCGCCGCGATGGACATCTCTGCCATCAACTACGACATTATTATTATTACATGTAACTAATGTTCATTTCAGAGTTAAATGGACGTGAGCATTTTTTGAATAACTTTTGATAGGAACGAGTTAGAGATCTCCGGTTTTTACCGTTGGAAAGAGCAGATGAAGACGCATCGAATTATATATATAGAAAGATTTTTCTAACTACTTTCCTATAGGTTTTATATAAAACTTCAAGAAAAACAGCATGCTTCTCATGGTCATGATATCAACTTGTTGATTTTCAAGAGTGCTCTAGAATGGCCAAAGAAAGAGCTACAAAACTATATCAAGACGCTGTTCCTAACTACTACCAGTATGATATGTAAACCATCGGAACCCAATTTATCACCTCATTTTTTTTCAACAAAATAATCGAAAAATGTAAATTTTTGTCGTATTTTGATAGAAAAGCCACTTTTTTAACATAGGAGAAAAAAAGCAATTCTTTGAAAACTTTTGACTAAACCTATAGGAAAATAGTTATGCGACTTCATCTGTTCTTTCCAACGGTGAAAATTGGAGATTTCTATCTCGTTCCTATCAAAAGTTATTCAAAAAATGCCCATGGCCATTTAACTCTGAAACGGACATTAATAAATGTTGTACAGTTTTGACTCATATTTAACCTATTTTATTTCATTGCTTTATTCTTAAACAAAATTCTAAATACGGGAATTTAACTAATTGATGTATGTTCTTATGCAGAAGCATAGTTTTTGTAAAAAAGAAATTGAATTTTTATTTTGTGATTAATCTTAACGTTTATTATAACATTTACTTCAAATCTGCAATAGGTTTTTAGATTTAATCTTACTGCTAGTATATATGACTATAAGAAATGAAATATATAGATATTTTACATATTCCAATCAAAACTATAAACAATGAAATGAAAAAAGAGAAATTTTGTTTTTAATAATCATAAAAAAAAAGTTTACAAAATATATTTTGAAATGTAATGACAGAATCAAACAATAGTAAAAATCTCGAGTTCGAGATTAATCCGATGAGCTCTAATAAAGATTTTACTAATCGAAAAAAAAAACAAAATTCGATGTCAAATTAGCCTTGTTTCTATTGTTATAATTTGATTATATTTGAAGTTTGTTAACTGTAGGAAAAATTCTCCAATTAATCGAAATTACCTTGATCAATAGTAATCACAAGGTTAGTTTATTTTGTATAATGAGATATGTAAAAGTATACTTCAATTCATACCTTGGTTAAAATTTAGATTTAGATGAGACTTTGAATTTTTCATTATTATAACGTATACATAAAATATACTTATTCTTATTCTTATTCTCAATTACATATAGAATCCATTTTGTTGAATAGTAAAAAGGTTTCATAGAAAAGCAAAAAAAAAAAAATAATATGATCATTATATTTTTTTTTTCTACTAATTAAATATTTGATGTCTATTATTTTAACTTTTAGAATATAATCAAATTTATTTTATTTATTTACTTGATGAATAATATTCATCATTAATATGATTATTTATTTGAGTTGATCGTGTATATGTTTGATCAATAATAATGTATAAGTCGATTAATATGTTCATTTTTTTCTTCAACTATTTTATCTAATTGTCGTTTAAATTCATTTTCAAGAAAATGATTTTGATTTTCAAGTATAAGATTTTTTTCTTGAAGATAATATACATCACGACGAGCATAATTTAGTTTTTCACGTATTTGCTAAATAAAAACAAAAAAAAATTCCAATGTAATCGATCTCTAGATCAAAAAAAAAGAAAATATCAACAAGATACTTATCTATATATATAAAGAAGAATGTCTGTTTGTGTGTTTGTGTGTTTGTGTGTTTGTTTGTTCTTCATGCATTTGGACACGGTACGAGCAAATGCTATGAAACTTTCCAGAAATGGTCTTTACACCCAGGAGAAGGTCGACGTCAACTTTTTTTTCAAAAATACTTGATTCTTCGACCAGAAAAGCCTACCTAAGTTGCTAACCAATCAGATTGCAGCATTCGGTACTATAGAACTACTACTGAGCTCCACTTCATGAACATACAGAAAACATGGAACCAGAGGTTTTCAAGGCCGGTGAGTTCGAATCTGAGATTCAATCGCCTCCAAATCTGATTGGTTGTTCGGAAACCAATAGGAATTCAGCTCTTAAAAAAACAGAGCCAGACACGTATACTTTGAAAGAAAAGATGGACTACAGGGTTTTTCGAGGCGGTGAGTTCGAATCTAAGGTCCAGTCGCCTCCAAATCTGATTGGTTGTTTGAAAACCAATAGGAATTCAGCTCTTCAGGAAACGGGCCAAAACGTTTATACTTCCAATATGATGATCGGGCACACGGTTTTTCGAGGCGGTGAGTTCGAATCTGAGGTCCAGTCACCTCCAAATCTAATTGGTTGTTTGAGAACCAATAGGAATTCAGCTCCCAAAATACAGACCAAGACGCTTATACTTTGAAGGAAGTGATGGGGCAGGGGTTTTTTCGAGATGGTGAGTTCGAATCTGAGAGCCATTTGCCTCCTAATCTGATTGGTTGTTTGGAAACCAATAGGAATTTAGTTCTAAAAAAACAGATCCTGATGTTCATACTTTGAAGCAAACGATGGGACAGGGGGTTTTTCAAGCTGGTGAGTTCGAATCTGAGGTTCATTTTCCCCAAATCTGATTGATTGTTTGGAAAGCAACAGGAATTAAGCTCTTTAGAAAGTAGACCCAAACGCTTATACTTTGAAGGAAGTGATGGACCAGGGGGGTTTTCGAAGCGGTGAGTTCGAATGTGAGGTCTATTTGCCTTGAAATCTAATGAGTTGTTTGGAAACCAATTCGAATTCAGCTGCTAAGAAACCTAGCGAAATAACCTTTGGTCGTTAGAAGAAAAGTCAGGTAGGAGCTCTAGATGCAATGAGTTCGATTCAGGGATCTAAGCACTGAATGTGGGTATAGGGTATGGAAGCGAGCATCTTTTTTGTTTATATATATAAAATTGTCTGTCTACTGTTTGTGCGTTTAATTTCGGTAGTAACTAGCACCATCAAAATTTCCATGATATACTCTTCAGTTGAGAGAAAGATTTATAGTAGATTGGCATGACACGCAAGGAAAGGAAGGTAATTGGATGTAATGCCATCTAGGTTGTGAAAAATGGAAATGTTCTTATCTCTATCCCCAATGTACGATATGAAGAATAATGTTGACAGGCTGTGCAAAGAGTGAGGATGTATTCATACCATGAATATTCATGGTTCTTACTGGCATACCGTTTGAATTCAAGCGTGATCAGTTTCCTATACGTCTTGCCTTTGAGATATCTATCAAAAGAGCTCAACAGTAATTACTCAAGGTGGCTGGCATTATTTTAGAGAGTTCTTGCCTATCTCATGGCCAACTTCACGTAGCATGCTGAGGAATTGGAACTGGGAAGAATTTGTTTATTTTGGCCCCTGCTGCGAAAATCTAGAAGTTTCTGTATCATAAGGCGTTGCAATGGACGTTGTATTTTGTTAAACGGTCTATTGTAATAAAAGAAGTCGATCAAACAAAAAGAACATTGAAAAGGACAGAAATTTTTTAAAGATTAAACGTGGGAAAAGCATGAGTTGAAAGGGAAAGTGATCTGAGCATATTTTTGGATACCGAATTCCAATAATT